TCCGGGGTTATGACTCGGTTGGAAGCATTCACAATCTGACTTATTGTTTCATATGAGTGTAGCGTAAAAAGCACTGGTATGTAACAACAACCGCCTCGGACAAAGAGTTGCTTTAGTTTGATTCCGTAGATATATTTTACTACCACAAGCTGAGGACATTGCTTTATTGTCTCTGTCGACAAGTATTTCAAACCAAGGACAATGCAGTGGTGTTGAAGAATGAGTTACTTGATGGTTTACGCAGCTTTAAGTAAAAGTCATAAATCTAAAGAAATAACCGAGCTCTTCTCCTACCGTATTACGACTAACGGTAGCGCTCTCAGATATTATCGTCACATTAACGCCTTTCAAATGCTTGATAGACATAATATGGAATCGGCCTTCGGAGGCCTATACGGCTGCGCACATGCACTCTTTCCTGCTTTAAATCCGTTTCTGTGGACCCATAGTGATTCAATGACCACAGGTGTTCAATGGAGCCTAAGCAGATCTGTAACACCCAATGATTGTAATAAGCTGTCAGCTAGAAGATAGATACTAGATACTAGTTCTTGAGCTGTGATGTTGTACAAACACAGCTGCAACTGCCACCGTAAACAACATGTGACAATTGAGCGTTGACTAAACACACAGGGTTCTCACACTTAGTTTTGTGGGTGGCGGTGGTGGGGGTAGAAGCTAAGCGTTATAGAAGTGGAACCTACCGCCAGTCCACTGCGCTTTGTCTCGTCGTGTCCGACCATCCATTTGGTCTGTATGGATGCGTCCATCTACCGAAGCTTTACCGTTCATAGCACTCAACTTGCCACCGGGAACGCCAGGTTTCGACGATCCGTTCCGAGGCTGTTTTGCACGAACACAATGTGTCCATGTTGTGAACGTTTTCCGATTGCACCAGACCCACATCCCAGACGTTATTCCAACCACAAGAGACATGAATGATTGTAACATATTGGTCTCAACCGACGGCAATTGTAGCCCTTCTAAGCATAAATCCGCTCTGGCCCAATTAGTTCCGTGTGCTGTGAGACAGTCAGAGCGTTGGTCCAATCGATCCAGAGTGTACTGCCATTTGGAGAAATTCCCGTACTTATAGATATTCACTCCGATCACACAAATTGTCGGTATGATGTAAAGAATTGAAAAAATGCAAATTTTTGCCATAAGCTTGTCCAAACGGCGCACATTTCCGTTTTGCATAGCAGTCAAGTGACTGCCGAAAAGCGACGAACTGTTGGAAGGAGCCTGTTGCTGCGATCGATTGGATATGAGTAACAGTGCTGCGTGATGCTTTAAATTTGAACGAACTGAGACAAGCGAGAAGAAACCCAGAATCAGAAAACACAAGCCGATCACAAGATAGCATATTTGGGGAACTAGAACAAAGAACAACAAACTGGACGAATCCTGATATCCAATGTGACAGAGCCCGGTCAGTTCGTCAGCATCTATACGATGCATAATGAGAACAATCATGGTTTTTAGGGCTGGTAAAGCCCAGGCTAGCATGTGCAACACACTGCTGATTGTTTCTATCCCCTCGGAACCCCATTTACACGCGGCCGAAAGGAACCACGTGACCGATAACATGAGCCACCAAATGTAGCTGGCTTGTCCGAAGTAGTAGAGTAGGATAAACACAACCGTGCACCAAGTCCCTTCGAAGCCAGAAACTATAAGATAGGATTCTCGTGACGGAATTCCGGACCCAAGACCAGACATAGAGGACAGCTGGGTTGCAGCTGTATCTGCAGAAATTAACATAGCCATTGGAGATGGGTTAGTTGTCATGTAATCTCGGCATGCCACCCGTTCTCGTCCAAGGCCCAATCTGAGTGCAAATCCCAGGGAGTAAAACAAATAACAGGCAGATATGTAGACAATCGGACGTTCCGGATAAGCGAATCTCGCACGATCCAATATAAAAGTGATCAAGGTTAGCGCACAGGATAAAGCACATAATACGGACCAGACCATTAACCAAATGTCAGAAAACTGCTTTTCGGCCGGACGATAGAAAACGTGAGCGTGACATTGTTGAGCACAGGTAACATTTCTTGTTGTTGTCGAAGTCTTCTCAGTGAGNCTCAGTGAGCAGAGATAATTCGGATGCTCGACAAGGAGAATTACTGGGTCTCGATGCAGAACTCCCTTGAAATGGTTGCTTTCCAACCGTTGAACTTATGATTTTGTTTTCTTGAGATAGCAGTACTGTTTTCGAGTCACTGGGATCTCCATCTTCTGGATGCTGTATACCTTGTCTTTGCGAATTGAATAACTGCGTGAGATCAGGGATTAGTTCAGCAATAGTTTGTCTTCCAACGCCGGATAGGCCCTGACTTAGTAGAGAAGCTGACGGTGGATGGGGTGTTTGCTGATCGAGATCATAATTTTGCGGTTGAATGCACATTGCACTGGATTTCGGAAATGCATTACAATTTAGTTCTTTGGGCCAGGGGAAACTGAAACTTTTCATAATTGGTTCACATCTGGACTGAACATAACGACACAGGTTTTCACAGGGTTGAAGCGTGGTCATAGAGTTCAGCTGAGGAGTGCACATGGGAAAATAAACGGTACAGAGAAAAAACTTTAGATAGTGAGAACAACCTACACTAATCAGAGC